TGTGTGTGTGTGTGTGTGTATTGTTCACATATTTGTATATTAATATAGTTAATATTCTATATTGATGTAGTTAATGTTGCGAATCTTTACACATCTCGATTGCAGATCCATTGCGATATTTACTGTCAGCATAATGGTGTTTATTTCAATATGCTGTTGGTGCGGACTAGTCCTTCTCGCTTGGTGGTCGCCACCGAAATGCGATCCAAGAGCTTCCGGCTTAATTACGGCCGACGATCAATTGTTGCCGGCTTATGTCATGGAGGTTGCCCATCATTTGCATGGGATACCTGGCCTTTTTATTTCCGGAATTTTTGGCGCGGCGCTCAGGTATTAAAAATCAAATTAAATTAAGATATAATAATCATTTGTTGAGATACCTTCGCCAAATATAATAATATTGCTTAAATAAATCAACAAATTTCGAATAACGAGATTTATAACAGCAATTCGTCTCAAAATAAATTTTGTTTAATAAAATTAATAAAATAAAACGGGCAATTTTTACGCGTCAAAAATCGACAGCAAATAAATAAAATTATTTATTATTTTTACCAAATTTTTCTGTTTTTATAATATAAACATGAAATAAAAAATAAACAAAAAGCTCACTTATTTGTTGACGTGAGCCATTTGGCCGAATGAGAAAATTACAATTGTTGGTGCTCGTTTAATTGTTGATCTGTTGTTGGTCGCAAGAGAAAATTGAAATTCTTTTCCTCTCTTCCGTAGTTCATTATCAGTAGGCTTCAACTCGACTTCCGTTGTGATTCTGGAGGACTTTGTTAAAGGTTGCTTTAAAATGAAGCCCAACGATCGCTGTTCCACGATTTTCGTGAAAACCCTTATCATCCTGTTCGGTTTGTTGGCGCTATGTTTGCTTTTTTTGATCGAGAAACTAGGAGGGGTTTTAGCTGTGAGTATCTAGATTTTATGTTGTTATTCCATCGCAATCTATCTTAATACTTCAAAATATGCTGTCGTAATTTTTATTATCGCGATTCAGGTAACGGGTAGTTTGGCCGCCATCGCTGCCGGAACTTCCTTTGGCGTATTTACTCTGGGAATTCTGTTTCCGTGGACAAATTCTAAGGTATTAAACAAAATCTGATCGACTCTCTCGGACGGA